AGCTCAGTGACAGAGCACTTGTGTAACAGGTACAAGGTCCTAGGCTTGATCCTCAGAATCATACATACAGACTCAAACATCATACACCTACATATCTAACATCATAATTGTATTTTAACTACGAAAACATATGCAAGTGATTGAATTATACTTGATGAAAAGACCATAGGAGATGTCTGATATAATTTCTACTATAAGGGCCAAATGAAATGCTCGTGGGCCCTATAATACTAAGGTAAATAAGAAACTGCTTAGGAATTTCTATGGGAACCAGCCTTTCCACAAAAACCAGGGATTCAGTATCACAGCTGAGTTTCAAGTGATATCTTTGTTATCCAAGAACATTATTCCTCCATCATATGCAGGTCTCCTCTAGCAGCAGGTATAGAAAGAACGCATGCTGTGTGGCTCTGAAATGTTGTAAGGACAGGGCAGCACAGGCACACACAACGGACATTAGCACACAGTGCAGATGTTCACACTCAGTTAAAAGCCAGCTCCAGCAAGGTCTGTATGGGACAGGCTACATTGCTGCTCACTTAGTGACAGCATACACACTGAAGACAATGTGTGATCCAGGGGAAGATGCAAGGATCAACACATGTGAAGCAGAAAGATTTTATCTTGGAAGTTAATGCTGTTAACTGGTAGCAAATATTTAGTGTTGCTAATAGGTTCTTTCTTGTAAAGATGTCTTCCATGGTGCCTATTGATATTATCGTGGCAAACACTGTAAGAATGGAGTATGTCACCCTAAAAATAATTCCTACTATTATTTATGACTCCTGTACAACATGTACTGCTCATTATCAATATCTTTTGTTAGAAGTGTTGTATGTGGCCCCATGGAATCCAGATGCTGAGATGCCTATGTTCCTATGTTTCCCTGTATCTGCTGAACTCTTGAAACAGATCTGATCTGATTATTTATTTATTTATTTATTTATTTATTTTATTGGGATTAAATCCAGGGCTTGATACACACTAAGCAAGCAGTACCACTGAAGTACATCTTATCTTAGACTTGATGTTTTAATTTGAGTGAGTTTTTATTTTAATGTCTAAATTTTAACTATCCAAACAGAGAAGGAGTCATGACTGAGAAAATTATATCTTACACTTTCATTCATTGATTTTTTATGTTCAATAAAACAGAACATTTTCATGTTTATCTATAAAAACGCATCAGCTGGTTTAAGTTTGGAGAGAAAAATATCAGGCCTGCAAGTCAGAGTTAACATTTGAAGATGATTATCCTTAAAGTTCCAAGGACTGCATGGGAGAGATGGCAGGGCTGGTTCTTAGGTTTCTGACTCAACAGAGAAAGGTCAGCTGACCAACCAGCCTCAGAATGGGAGAGCTTGCAAGTACCTAGAAACACTGCCTAGTCATAGTTCCTAATCTAAACAGAGGGTAGAGCTCCATGGGGAAGGGGGCAGTGCCAGCCAGTTGCAAGACTGAGTTTACAGAGATCGAGAGTTTATTCTCCATGACTTTTGCATATTCCTCTTTATAGCTCACGAAACTTGTGTATTTATGATTGACTGTTGCTATAAGAATAATTCATGCATGAATAGTCGCAACTGCTTTAACTTATTAAATAAACCCTTTGGCATCATAAAAAAGAATGAATTAATATCAATATCAGTATTAAGATATATGGGGACATTTATGGATATATATGTATGCATATGTGCTGTATGTAATGTGTTTACATATATACATGTAAGTATATGTGTATATATGTGTGTGTATGTACATTTGAGGAGTAGTTATATGTGATGTGTGTATGTGTGTATGTGATGTGTGCACATGTGTGCAGGTGTGCTTGTATGTACAGAGGCCAGACAAAGATGTCAAGTGTTTTTCTCTATTGCTCTCTGCCTTATACTATAAAACAGGATCTTTAAATGAACTTGAAGATTGCTGTATCAGTGGCTATCTACTGAACTCCTGGTATCTACCTGATTAAACCCCCCCCAACACCAGGGTTATAGGCATTTGTGCCTATGACAAGATTTTTTTTACCTGGTTTCTGGTAATTCAAATTCAGGTCCTCGACCTTACAGAGCAAGCATACTTACTCACCAAGCCATCTTCCTATGCCCACTTTTTTAATGTGTGGTTTTTTTTTCCTCAAGACAGTGTTTTCTCTTTGTAGCCCTGTCTGTCCTAGAACATGTTCTGTAGACCAAGCTGACTTTGAACTCACAGAGATCCATGTGCCTCTACCACCTGAGTGCTGGGATTAAAGGCATGAGCCACCACCACCCAGCTTTTTGTTTTTGTTCTATTTATTTATTTATTTATTTATTTGGTTTTTCGAGACAGGGTTTCTCTGTGAGGCCCTGTCTGTCCTGGAACTCACTCTGTAGACCAGGCTGGCCTCAAACTCAGAAATCCACCTGCCTCTGCCTCCCAAGTGCTGGGATTAAAGGTGTGCACCACCACTGTCCAGCAAAAGCACAGAAATTTAAAAAAACCAAGACATGTTTGAAAATGTACTGGGACTAAAGATTACTAATGGGTAAATTATATCCCGCTTGGTTCTGTACTCCTGCCCAGACGCCTCATCTACTCACCCATCAGCCTGATTCTATGTGACTCCTTTAAGTGCCCACCTACACAGAATTAGAGTATGAATTGCCAGCCCCATGTTATAGTCAGGATGCTTTGTGGATGTTCTTGTCTTTTCTCAGCTGTACTTGGAGGACCTCGTCAGAGAATCCTCTGCAAGTTCTCTGGCTGTAGCTCCTTCATGAATAACCCTAGGGTTCTTATGAGATGACTGTCAAAGTCAAATTGAAATGTCAGGCAAGAACTTGTTCCACCAAGATGGAATCACTAAGTTGTCACAGGAGCTTTGAGGCTTTGGGTTGGTTTCCATTTTTGCTCATATGGTAGGTTCAGGAAGGAGCTGAGTTACCAGCCAGTAATTTTCAATAAGTCAATTCTTCAAGGAGGCACTTGTGAGAAGTATAAAATCCAATAAGAACCTATCAGCAGAGTTGTCCCATGTCTTGCCAAATGACAGGCAAACACTCGAAGTGAAATGGTTTTCAGTAACACGTCCTCTCTGATTGTTGTAAGTTCTGAAGTTTTGAAAGGCTTTATGATAAGTTGCTAGATTTGAGTGATTGGTTTAAAATGTTCAGGAAAATAAAAATTATTTTAAAAGGAAAATGAAGGAGACAGAATGTAGCACACAGAGCCCTACACTTTCAGGACACAGGTGAAGGTTTCCCATTACATCAGAGTTTCAGCAGGGATTTGAGAATCTATGCAGGAAAGACAACATCATGTACAATAATCTATGCACAGTCACCATAGAAATGTAGAGCCTGTCTTTTATAAAACAATAATTTTTAAAATAATGCAAATAGCAAGCAATGCAAGTTATGGCTTGGTTCATCTTCCAAAGGCATACAATGTGGAAGCAAGACAGACAGACAATGAAAGCAGGCACGAAGGCAAATAGAGAATCCTGTGATCATCTCAGTAGGGGACATCAGGAAATCATTTCCTATTCTCCTTCTGACTAAAACAAAACAACAACAACAAAAACCCCAGAACCATCATGTTCTTTGGTGTCCAGAAAATAAAGCTGGACTATGAACTAATGGTCATGACTTTCCAAGAGAGAACTGTAGAGCTGACCACATGAATTCTTCCCTAGCCAAATAAAGGAACAAGCCATAACTGGAACAGATTTGATAGGCAATCTACAAGAATTCTAAGAAACAGAATTGTGAGAAGAATCTAACTTTCCCAATGTTGTAAAACTCATGATCACTGATCAGACCCTCAGGCTCAGAAACAAGTCAACAAGTAGCCCTTCTAATTTGCTTTCCAGAAAGCACACAGATTAAGGCAACTTCCATAGACTAATAAATATCTAGAACCCTCTAAATTTGACTTTAAAAGTATTTTATATTTGAAAAACATTTAGAAATTCAAAATAATTTCTGAACACTCAAAATTCTCAAAGTTAAAGATGCTGACTCCCATTAGGGGAAGACACCACATTACCGAATGCCAAAAGTACTGAGGATAATCTGTAAATCTCACTTCAGTTTTAAATTTTATTGATTTTATGGATATGAGTATTTAGTCTGCAGGCATGCCAGTGTATATGCATGCCTGGTACCCACTGAGGCCAGAAGAGGATATCAAATCTCCCCTGGGACTGGAGATACAGATGGTTGTGAACCACCATGTAGTTGTCTAGCAATCAAACCTGGGTCCTCTGAAGAGCAGCCAGCACTCTTAACTGCTAAGCCATCTCTCCAGCTCCCCACTTGAATTTTATATACCAATCAACTTCAAGTTTGCTTTAGCACACCTTCCTCTTAAACATGACTGGGCTAATGTATTGTGAGGCACCTGATACTGGGACTGGGAATAAAGCTTGGTGAATTCACTATGTATCTGAGGATAACTTGAACTCCTAATTTTCCTGCCTGTCTTCCAAGAGCTGGGATTACAGGTATCAGGCACCACTGGACCCAGCAGAAACATGACTTTTGTTGTTTCTTTGTTTTTGTTTGAGGCAGGGATGTAAGGTAGCTTGGACTCCCTATTGAGACCTTGCTGGACTCCCACTTGCTTCTGTCCTTGTACCTCTACCTCTGGAATATCTCTACCTTTTTTAAATAGCCCATGAGATCAGCAATCGAGAATTACATCCCTGGGCTGGTAAGAATGGCTTCTTTATCTGATGGCAGTTTTCCTCCAAAGAGTCATTTTAGCTTTTCCTGATGTATAAGACCTAGGCAAGTTATTATTTATGAGTATGTTTTTTCTCCCTATGCTGATAAATACTAAATTCTAACAGGTGCCCTTTCTTTAAACTTACGAGAACAGTTGGCTAGATTTTTTTCCTTCACATATAAATGAAGAGCTTTTCCTAAAATCCTATACACACACTGATCAAGAGAGAAGCAAAGCACTATGTATGTGTCCATTTGATTCACAGAAGTATGGTTCTTCCTGTGACCTACCTGCTGTGCCCCTGTATGTCCCCCAGCTCCTTCTGCAGCCTGGCATTTTTCTCTTCCTCCTCCAGCAACTTCCTCTTCACAGTACGCAGCTCCTGCTGAGCCTCACACTTGATGTCGTTGGCCACTACCACTGCAGTCTGAAGGTCTGCCTGGAACCGCCTCCATTCCTCTGTTTCCTCCTGAAAATGACAGAATCCATGTGACCTCAGACGCTAGGTGAGTGTGTTGGGGTCTCTGTGAAGGAGTTCCTGAAGCTTAGTTCCTGAAGAATCAGTCTCTAAGAAGCTGAAGCAGAAAAACTTGGCTTTAATGGTGCTTCACTCCTTGAAAGAGGCACAAGAGGTAACTCCTTGATGTCACAGAGTTCTTTAACTAAAATTTGAATGATTGCTTTAGTTTCATTTCCCGCCAGAAAAAAAAAAAATGTGTGGCTCAGGGTATGACTTGGAGAAAAGCTGGCTGGAGAGTGTAACAGGGTACCTTCCCAATGTTTCCAACCTAAGACAGGAATACTGTCCAGTAAGATGCCAGAGGAGATTCCTGGTCTGTGGCTTACCTTTATCTGTTTTGATAGCGTCTTTAATTGCCGCTCTAGGTCTGACTTCTGCTCCTCCAGCTTGATCACACTGCCTAAAAGGAAATGAGTTAGAGTTACAAAGTTGCAAGGCTCCTGGACAAGGTAACCTACAAAGTAAAGGGGCCAGTTTCAGAGACAGCAGGCTTAAAACCCAACCCACTACAGTAAGCTGTGTTATAAGGACTCTATAGACAGAACTAGTAGCAGTCCTCCTCCAAGACAGGAGACCAGATGACATGCCAGTGGGTCTTACTTAAGTTATAACCCCAGAAGGTAAGTTGTACATACTCCCACACAGCACTATGGCAGGAGGCTTCAACAGCCGTGCAATGTATACCCTTGCCTTGGGTCTCCCTGCCAGTCACACAACTTTTCTGAATAGCCTTTATTATTGAGATTCGGATGGCTTTGGTGTAAAAGAAGATTCTCTTGACTTTGAAACTAGTCTCTAGGGTCACGATTCTTAGCCACAGTTAACTCTGGGAACCACGTGTGGCAGATATGCAAGCATAAGCTCCAGACCCATGGACCCAGGATCTCTGACGACAGCTAGGATCTGGGCCCACATATATTAGAACAGCTCCGCCGGGCGGTGGTGGCGCACGCCTTTAATCCCAGCACTTGGGAGGCAGAGGCAGGCGGATTTCTGAGTTTGAGGCCAGCCTGGTCTACAGAGTTAGTTCCAGGACAGCCAGGGCTACACAGAGAAACCCTGTCTCAAAAAAAAAAAAAGAACAGCTCCAAGGTGGCACACCCACCTTTTCCTAATTTAGAACAAATTCTGTCCCTTGTTCTCCCTATATTACAACCAGAGCCATTTAAATTTAAGTATCAATATGTCAATCACTGAGCAAAAATTCCTAGTAGTTGTCTAGTAAGAAAATGAATCAAACAAGGCATAGTGGTACATACTTTTAACC